TTTTTTACCTTAACTTGCTTTGTGACAAATTTCAGGTTTTTTTCCTATCTTTTAAAGTTTTATTTGATAAATCATCCATTTATGATAAAGAATTTGGCGGTTCCTATATTGGCCTTATGAAAATGTCCGCCATCTTGGATTTTTTCGGCCATATTGGTTTGGCTTTTTTTAAAATTCTGATTTGGTGTCTTATTTGTTTTTACCTCAACATGCTTTGTGACAAATTCCAGGCTTTTCCTTTCATTAAAGTTTTATTTGATATATCATCCATTTATGATAAAGAAATTTAGCGGCCATGTTAGTGGTCATTTTAAATTGCCATTTCAATGGTCAAGATCAAGTTTTTCAGTTTGGTATCCACCTTTATCGGATTCAGCATACCTTAAATAGGTAAAATACACCAAGATACCAATTGTACTACAAAATGCCTCTAGCATCTTATAGAGAGCCAAATTCTCAAAAACAGTCCTGTCTATTATTTTGCAGTTTATTTATAAATAAATCAATTCATAAAAATAAAATATTTGTATTCCATATTTCTTTCTCACAATATTATTTTTGACTTTACCATTAACTTTTATTACTTGCCCAAATATTTTTTACATCATTCATAGATTTGTATATTGTTTATATCTTATACATGTATAGTGTGTACTTTAACTGCACTTTAATTTTATTTCGCTTGTTTTAATAAGTTTTGATCTGTACTATTCGAAGAATAGTGGGCGTATCCCCTAGCGTCGGCCTCGGCATAACACTTTGGTTAAAGTTTCACCTATAACTTCTTACACAACATCATTTTATTAACCGCGAAAGATGTTTGCTTGTAACGTCATTCCTGAATTTAATATCGTAATAGGAAAATGTCAAAGGTTCATAACTCTAGCATGAATTTTGACATAATTATGACCCTTTGTGAACTAGGAAAATCTCGGGTTAAAGAATCTTCGAAATTACTGAATGTATTCACATGAACATATGACATGTTACTTAGATAATAAATGAAAGTCCCTTTGCAACGTCAATAACTCTGACATGAATTCAGATTGAATTATGGCCGTTCGTGAACAAAATTCGGTCAATTTTCGAAATTACTTACGCCCAATACCTGTTTCCGGGATATACATTTATAATTCATACTGATTTTCTTTTCACTAGTGTCAATAGTTCTGTGTCATGTGTGATATTTGTACATCACATGTTCGTATTTATTTATTTATTTCACAATTTTCTATTATGCATGAACTTGTACAATATTTTTTGTTGTTTTAACTTCTATGTCGGCAGGAAAAGCAGGCTCTAAAAACGAATGTCGCCTGACAACACCTCCGGTTATCGAAATAAGTGTGGGTGCGGAGCTATTTGTGTTTATTGCTGCGCAAGATTGGTTACATGAATCCGAAAGCTATAAATAGATGACCATAATTAACATTGTGAAAATCCGAAAATCTGTTTATATAAGTAGTAGAAAAAACTGGCTTGAGTACATTACTCAAAATATTACATTCATGTATCCATCTTTAATTTCTTCATTTAATTCTTGCCTGCATAAATGTCTAAAATCTATCCATTGATTCTCAGTAGCTTTTTCAGTAAACCATCTCTCCAATAATTTTTCTATTTTATGTCTTTACTAATTTCAGTTTTTATCAGTGTGACATACTTTTTCTATATGCAAATTTAAATGATTTACAAAGTTTGTCAAGGTATTTGTAACGAGCGCTTTTTTTTCTTTCTTTTTTTTTGCGCGCGCGGAGCTTCTCAATAGCTGCAACATTTGTACTTGTATTACAAAGATCTTTCTCATTAGGAAAAAATAGCAAGTAAATATTGTTGATTTTAAGAAGTATGATAATCATTCCTTCTTCTCGCGTGTATGAGAAAATATTACAAATATAAAGCAAATATAAAGAACTAATAATATATTATGTACATTTAAAGATGTTCAAAAAGCAAAGAAAACAGTACATAACTATTATTGTTTTGGTTTTTTTTTTGGGGGGGGGGCATGTGAATAGCCGGATTTAAGAATTATATATTTGAATTCAAGACACAGGCCACTTAGTCGAATGTAAAGGTCACAACCTACAAAGTTTGTTCAAATAAAAGCCCTGGCCCGGCCCCAGGGGTGTCATTGTTTTTAACTATATGTGTATAGTAAAAACTTTAAAAAAATCTTCTTTTAAAAAGCCCAATGAGCTAGAGCTTAAACATGAAAAACGGTGTATATCTTAGACTCTGTATCATGTAGATGTATTGGTAAAAATATTTTCAATGTATGAATTGGGAAAGTTTTTCTTAATTGAATTGTTAATGTATATAAAAATTTCTTTGATGTCATGAAAGAACTATCAGAGTAGGATCGAATATACCGAGATATAGGAACATTTATTATGTTTGGTACTACTTTTCAAATGTAGGATTTTTACCATAAAAGTATTAGCTTTCTTTGATAGTGGTTTTAGAAGAAGATAAAAACAGAACGGTTTAATTGTATTCTTTATTGAAACAAAGGGTTTCTATCCGATTATATCAATGCCTGGAGTTTGAAACATCTTAATTTTAATAAAAGGTGGCACAGGAAGTTGTGTTCGACTATCGTACAAGGCACATGTCTTCAATGCACAGGGACTCTCCTTCCATAGGTACCTGAAATAGGTATAAAAAACTCGTACTATTTCTAACTTTATGTATATCTGAAATCTATAGAAACAGTCAAATTCGAAACTGAGAATGAAAATGATTTACTTATTTTATTTTCCATTTAATAAAATTTCATCATCTTAAATCTGAGACATGCATGACATAAAAAATGTGAATGTAAATGTCATTCGAATGATGATAATTACGATAAAAATCAATTCTTATATACTTCACATTATTCCCCTATCAAACATTAAGTGCATTATCAATGATTATTATACGACATACGCAAATTCTTTTTAAAGGGAATGGTTATATGACATTTAAGTTAGAATTGACGTCAATAAACCAAATAACATCGGGAAAATTTCTTCTCTCCTCAATGAAGTTCAACATATTATTATCAATTTTCTTTCTATTAGCACGTGAGAATGAAAATATATTGATTTTTGTGTTGTAGTATTTTTAATTATATGCAGTAAATCGTAATTAATTCGGCTTTTGTGATTATATTAATATGCATTTGATCACGAACAGTGCATTGTTCTTCACCAATGCACTCAAAATTGATTCCTATTTCCAAAGTAAACGAAATGGTGGAAAAAACAAGCAATACATTTTGCGATATTTATTTATCACTTATGAAAAAATTACCTTTATTAAAAAAGTTGGCAATAGTTAAACATAAAATATAGCTTTACCTTACACCAGTAATATGATTGTTTCCATGGCAACCAGAAGCATCTATTTGAATGGAAGATGTTTCTGACAGTTTGATAGAGGCAACAGACCATGCTGCTGAATTACTGCATTCGCTAGTAGTACTTGCACAGCAAATCTTTCAACAAGAAGTAATATATTGTTGTAGATATATGTCATAATCTTATCAAATTTTAAACTTTATTATATACCTTTTAGATAAAATGAAAGAACACGAATACATAGTGTACATTATGAACGCCTTGTTGTTGTTGCGTCGTTGTTATTGATAGATCCCTTTTTTGATTTTCTTTTGAATAACAATAAATTTAACAACAAACATTGACATGCGCTCTTGTGATAACAAATATGTTCTTATTCTTATTGTATCTACTAATCTGATATTAGAACTAGACATGTAAGAGATCTATGCATTGTTTACTTATTGTAGGAAAATACTTATATACACTATATCAATTCTATACAAACACTTAACCGTATGACCTTTTTTGGTTTAAACACTTTGTGTAATAGTATCTTTTTCCACTGTAATATAAGATTACTAGCTTTACGACTTCTTTCAGTGTACATACCATACCTTAAAAGATATTAAACTAATTACCTCGAAACCGTTGTTATTGTTAACTTGTAAATGTCCAGTCCCATTATCAAAAGTGATCCTTAGTGTGTGTTGACCATTGTTCATATTATACTCGGTAGGAAATGGACCTTGGAATACAACACTTTTGTCTCTATAAGCAACATTCATGGCTCCCAGAACTAGACGAGATGCTACATCTTGTTTATATGTCGGATGAATACTGAATTATAATATGATTTTTAAATATCATACCAATGTTTATTAAAAAAAAAGCCACATACATGATAAAATAAATCACGTACAATTCTAAATAATTTAGCTGGCTAGTCATAAGGAAAACTCGGACATTGAAAATTTGATTTCCATAACAAGTTCATTTTGCAAGCTTTCTAAATTCAAAATTTTACTATTTCATGTTTAAATGTTGAATTCTGCTTAAGCCGGTGCTAGGGGGCGTGGACGGTAACTTGCACTTTCCAGTACCGTCCATGAACAGGCTCAATCAAACCGAGCCTGCAATATTTTCAATTTTGCCGTGTTGGGCTTTCTTTAGGGATTCTGTATTTATCTATTTTAACATTACAATTATGAACTTTTTCTTAGATGAAGTTTGAGTTGAAGTTTTGTTTAAATTACAATCATCATTGAGAACCACAATCAATATTCTTAATTTGGTTTGGCTGAAAAAAAATTGAAGGTTAATCACTTTTGGATATAAACATCTTAGAATTATTATTGTGATACGTCACGAGGACTTAAGTCCTACTTACGTCCCGGATGGAGAATTAAAGTCTGGCAAATCAATTGCAACAGCCATAAATGTATCCGGCATATTTGAATTTGGCACATAGCCAATATCTGTCGTCTGTGCCCATCTTGTCGGCGGGAAACCTCCAACTACATTACCAGCTCTGTTCGGTGCCAGCTTTAAGTACGCAAATTATGATAGCGTTAGGATTCTTAATACTTTTATCACAAAGAAAGGATTACGTTGTTTTGACGTGTAAGATAAATCAATTAGAAGTTGTTTATCTATATTACATTTTTAAAAAGTCATGATCAGAAAAAATCAATAAATACTTACATGTATATCATATTTATTCTATGTTGGTTTAAATGGGACTCCACTGAGGTTTAAAAGCCTAAAACATAACATTTGAATTTCTTACATAAATGAGCTGGGACACTTTCAACATAAATATATGCTAATATTGTTAAGAAATATACTTTGAAATCAATTGAAAATCGTATTTTTATGCTTTTCTTAGCCCGATTTGAGTGAAAAGTGTTTTAACGCTTTTCATTTTGGGTCACTTTTTTATAATTTGAATAATTATTCTGGAAAAACGAAGCGCGCGAATGATCTGAAATTTTGCACAAAGATTAGTGGTCTAAACCTACATCTAATTGTACAATAATCTGGAAAAAATATTTTCAGTCCCATCATGTCAAAAAACATCAGTGGAGTCCCTTTAAATTAAGTAAGTAAATAAATAAGGTAAGGTAAGGTAAGGTAAGTAAGTGATGATACTGAGAATTAGGGACTGACACAAAACTTGTAGAAAGTGTTTATAGGGGTATACTTGGGTTACATACAAACAAATGTAGCAGAATCTAATTCAAATATAGAATTATAGCAGATTTAAAACCACATGATAGATTTTTTTAAACTTTGCATCATAACAGAAACAATTTAAACGAAAGGAAATTAGGGGTTACCGACGACCTCTTTTTTAAGTTACTTGCCTACTTATCGAAGTTTTTCTGATTTCAAGGGAAGATAATTTTCCATCAAGGTTAGCAATGGACTACTTTTTCTGCATTTCATGAAGTAAACTTCAACCTGAGTGTGCTAAATCTCAAGAATAGTTATCGAATAGTTTGTCTGATTTTGCTATTTTGCAGAAAGGTATGCCATTTTTTTAAATTACTAATTTCTAAAAAAAAACAATAAATAAACAACTATTTATATTTTCTTAACGTTACCTGCACGAAACCAAACGGGAAGTGATCACTTGTTTCACCGTCTGATCCAGCATGGAATTTCTTCCGCCAGTCGTCAATCATGGCGGGAAACTGACATGCATATAGGTCAGGTCGGCCTGCGTTTGATTCACCTGTTATTTGAATAATTTATATACTTATGATTAAATACAGGTACTTACTATGTGCAACTCCTTCACATAGTTTTTAATCCTGTTATATTATTTTTTTCTCCATCTATTGAAATGGTAAAAGATTTTTTTTGTTGTGTTTATTTTTTTTCTTTTCTTTTTTTCCTCCTTCCTGAAAGTTTTGCCAATTTCCTTAAAAGTTGCCTATTTTTTTGAAAAATTTCAATATCCGTATTCAAACTATTAAAGGGAACACAAATGATCAGTGATGGTTTTCAATGAATTGGTAAAAATGTTAAATTGACCACTTGAGAATAATTCTAGTGCAATTATCCCTTTGACGGCTGTTTTCTTATCAATTGAACCTATTTGCCAACGATTCAAATACATTTGCACATTAAAATTGTTTCGACAGACAATAATAAAGTGATGCTGTTACCTTGATACCAGATGGCGCCTTTAATTGTCATCGACAGGTAGGGATGTATCATAGAGTTCCAGAGAACCCCTCGCTCTGTCGGCCAGTACATACTCCTTAATGTATTAAAATATACACAAATCATATTTTGCTCTATATCTGGTTGTACATTTGTATGCTTTTACATTATGCACAACAGATAATTAGTTAATTGTTTATTTATATATTTTTTATATTTTGAAATTTCTCTATCTTAATCTACATCAATGACCTTAATTCATGTAATTAGAGTTGGTTAACATTAAATCATATAAGTACTGAGACAATCAAAGGTAAAATTTACTTATTACTTACAATAAAGTAAGACCTACTATCATTATCTACGGTAAACAGACTTACAAATTAATAACATGTCAACCCTAATGCTTTTACTCATAGATATCCAATAGTATCATGAGATTTTTTTGTGGTTATTAGATTAATATTTTGATATCAAATTATAAAAATATACAGCAATGTAATATGAAGGCAGTACTCCTTTGAGAAATTTATTGATAAAAATAGATACAAACGGAGTCAAGGTAGACTGTGAAGGACATGCTTGGAAAACATCCGGGCCACTCCAGACTTCTATTGGAGTACCGCCCCAATCTGATTCAATTACTCCGATTGGATATTTCAAACGTTTTTGAAGATCACGTGCAAACATGAAGCATAGTGCCGAAAACTCGTTTATGATACCTGGAACATTAACATTGTAAAACCTATTAAGAATTTTCGTTTTTAAAACACTAAGTACTAAGAGCAGAACTATAGAATTTATTTTATCTAGTCTATGGCACTAACTATAATCATGAAAATTATACTTAAAATGATTCAAAATATAAATAAATTTTACTTACAACGTAACTGACGGGGAAAACATTGTGATAAATTATTGCGTATTCCATAAATTTAGTTATAAACTTTAGCCATAAGCTTACTAAATTTATTGTACATATTTTTTTATTTTGATTTTGAAGCAATTTGTTAATTCACCAGTACCCGAGAAAAACAATGTTTAACCTGTCGTCACTTAAACTAAATGATCGTGAGCATCAAACTAGGTATCTATCACAATCTAAACATGTCTTATTTCAACATCAAGCGTATGGTGTTTTTGCTGAATAGTTATAAAATAGTTTTCAAAATACAGTTGTAATACTCTAAAATTTACAGTTGAATTTTGGGTATCATACAAAATCATACAATATCTACTATATCATACAACATCTACAATATCATACAATATCTACAATATCATACAATATCTACAATATCATACAAAATCATACAATATCATACAATATCATACAATATCATACAATATCTACAATATCATACAATATCTACAATATCATACAATATATACAATATCATACAGTATCATACAAACTCTACAATATCATACAATATCATACAATATCATACAATATCTACAATATCATACAATATCATACAATATCATACAATATCATGCAATATCTACAATACAATAACTAGAAAATGAATGACTTAAGAAATGATATGTTATTGACAATTTGTTTAAGAATGGAAACCTTTAATGGGATATATCCACGGCCGTTTTAATGAGACATCGTCAAGTGGCACATTAGATTGTTTAAAATCAGAAAATAGCATCCGAATATCACCGTACTTTATAGAATCATCGATTTCATATGTACTGTTGAACACCTACAAAAATTCAAATAAGGTCAAAAAGTGCAAATACTTTAATAAAATGTAAAACCGAATTTGAAAAATATACAGATTTCTTCTGCAAGAATAAAATAATTACAATTATGTAAAGTAGCCGAGAGAATGGAAACCGAGATATCACTTAAGTTGAAATGAGTAACTGTTCTGTCAATATTTACTAGTTATTTTGAGCATCTTTTTTGAATTTTTAATGTTGTGCGTGGACTAAAAGTTGGTATATTGAAATTATCATTATATCCGTCGTCAATGGTGTACGTGACCTGTTTTTGTTATATTTTATAGACGAAAAGAAATTTATTTAAGGTTGAACTGATTAATCTATAATAGACATCTACCTCTCGCATTGTAAACTGCATATTACTTTGTCCAGAACAAATCCAAACATCCCCAAACATGACGTCCACAAAAGAGAGAAATCCCTCACTAGATTCCACTTGAATCTCGTGTGGTCCAGGACTGGTCTGAGCTGGAAGTTTAACTTTCCAAATCCCTACTGTACCTACATTATGTAACACATGAACCACTGTACTGTATTTAGTTGGTTATGTATTAAATTTGCATTGTTTAATTTCACTTACCTAATATAATATAAAAGAGAGCTTCGATTTATGCTAGAAATCTGGAAGCGCGATCCCTATGAAGCAATCAAACATCAATATTATATAAAAAAATAGCATATTCGGTTTGATTGAGACCAAACTGTGAGCTACTGTGAAGTGAAACATCTCTCACGCACCGTAGCACCGGACCTTAGCGGTATTCAATCCTGGAATCAATGATTCAAAAGGACAAGAAACATATGTCAACATTGAATGGAAAACAGTCAGCAACTGTAATTCTCATAATAGATTTAAGTAGCACATAATTGATTTAATACGTTTACCGTTCTTTGTACTTTTTCGCACAGTTGTCTCTGCAATTTTGACGTCATTCATGAGAACAGAAACTGTATCACCAATGACGTCAGCATATCCCCACAAAATGGCGCGAGCAGGTGCACGTTGTAGGACCATGTGGTTCCCATAATATTTTGGCATCCGTAGATTGCCACCTGGAAATATTTTTGTATAGATTATAATATTTATATTGAATATAAGATTTTAATTGGTGTACTCAGCCAGATGAATTTGGCAAAATTTTAAAAGAATTTTTTCTATGAGGATTTTTATCTAGGCACTAAATGCTTTGAACAAAATAACATAATAGTAAGAAATTTTAAGATTAATCAGCAGATGTAAATGACGGCCGTGATTACTTGTTACCGACAGAGAAATACACCTCAATATATTGTGTCAGATAGTGTTAAGTTTTTTTTCCTAAGAAAGTTGGGTGAAAGTCGTTAATAACTGTTCTTTTTCTTATTTATTGATACAAAATTTTCAGCTGCCAAAACCAATACCTGATGTTTTAAACATTTTTATTTTAATGAAAGGTGGCACAGGAAGTTGTGTTCTGCTATCGTACAGGGCACACTGTTTTAGTGCACACGGACTTTCCCTCCACAGGTACCTGAAATAATGTTTAAACCCTGCTGTTACATGAAAAAATTGTGCCAAATTTTTCTAAAATAGATTGAATTGAAAAAGTGTATTGTATTATATTTAAAAAAGTCATCTAGACATAACATCTGTATCTGGAAATAAACATGAAGCATAAATATGACAGTAGAGTTCTTTTATTGTTGCAATTATAAAAAGAAATAGAATGGCAATGTTTGTAAAACACTATATCTAGTAAACAAAATTGAGATGGAATTTATGTCCCATTACGTAAGTCAGCTAAGTTATATGCTCTAATCGAAATCCAAAGAAATATCTTATGATACATTTTCATTAGTAGTCAAGCTTTAAGTTTATCTTAATTATTTAAAATGTTTTCATAGTTGTACACAAATTACATATTTACCTTACACCAGTTACATTGTTTCCATAACAACCGGAAGTATCTATTTGAACGTTCGATTTTTCCGACACTTTTATAGGAGCTGGGACCCAAGCGCCTTGATTATTACAACCAGATGTCGTACTAGAGCAGCAAATCTTGTAAACAAAATAAACGTATGTTTCAGATGTCATTTGATATTGTTTAAAAAGTATGAAAGGAAAGATTAACAAGGGAGATTTTCACATTGACTAAATGTGGTCCCAAACAATACATAGCAGTACAGGACAATTGATAAAGCACCAATGCAGGTCAACAAACAAAAAGGAAGGCACAGGGGTGGTGTATGGATGAGACGTATCATTTATAACATATTACATTTAACCACATTTTCATTTTCTGTGACATACATTTATACAAAATGTACTAATCTACAAAAAATCCATATATGTTTACAATGAAAACATTTGTTCAGTAGGCATTGTTCTGAAAAATGCTAAATAAAATACAAACATATTTCTTATAGAATCTGATGTATCAAATATTCGGAATAAGGACTTCATTCTCAAACAGTTATCATGTAAGGGAGCACGTTACCATGGTAATAACTTCGACATTGATACAAGTACGTACAACACTAGTTTCTTTTCTGCAGGACTTAAATGTAGAGTGAACACCGATATTTTGTCATCCCCTCTTAGAAGAACATTGAGGCCAAAGCTTTAAAATTTATCACACCTATCACGCCACTGCAATATGGACAAGGGCAATACCCTTTTAATTTAGGACATGAAATGACACTAAAGTGTCATATTGAAGATTCCTTGATCTCTGCCTTATGGAAACATTTTCGGAAAGTTTTGAATAAAAATTCAAAAGTTAAACATACTTTGGCCAGCTGTAAAATTCTTTTTGAGACGGTGGTAGGGATCATTGAAAGAAGCTTCTACTAAAGGCTTCCTCCAGAATATTCGTCAAATCAGTATGAATACACTAGATACTGATGTTCATATAACGAAAGGGTTTGGGTTTTAGACAGTAACAGTTCTGCATATTATAACAATGTGGTAGAATACCTAGGTATGAAAGTCCTTGGCCACGTGTCATAAAATGGGATATCATACGACAATGAAACAAATATAAAATGGTGAGTCTATAATTTACAGGGTATTGAAGCCCTACACGCATCGTAATGATATAATCTGATTTTATAAACTCAGTGAATAAATCCAAGTTATACAATCTGGCTTTATTTGTGGGAAATACAAGGTTTAGCTTTTCCGTTTTGTCCAGGTGAAGTCGAGTACAATGTGCATTTTCGTCGTATTTCCTCTTTTGGAAACTTAACATTAACAAAGCAATTTGTCTACTATATAACGATAGATTTACCTCAAAACCATTGTTATTGTTTATGTGTAGACTTCCAGTTCCATTGTCAAAAGTAATATTTAAAACGTGTCGTCCATTGTTCATTTTATACTCGGTAGGAAATGGACCTTGGAATACAACACTTTTGTCACCATAGGCAGCATTCATGGCTCCCAGAACTAGTCGAGCTGCTACATCTTGTTTATATGTCGGATGAATACTGGAATAAATGTAAATTTCATATAATTGGAAAACAATTCCCGATTATAAACATGAATACGATTGCGTGCAAGCGTATATATCGTATATATGAATAAAGATGGTTTCATTGCTATGACATTAATACCAAATTTATCTTACCAACACTGCTTTTGTTTTATCGGAAAATGTGCGCGTCACTTTTATAGCAAATATTATTTCAGAACTCAGTGCTGCACGAGTTGTCGTATCTAGTTATTGATTGGACTCAGCAATCAAATTAATATAGAGTTATAACTTTATTTACAAAGCTAGGGTAGATCTGTATGAATATCAGTGACCAATGCTTTTAGAATTTTTAATAATATTATGTTAGTATCATTCTACAAATATTGCAGGGTTATACCTACCTACCCGAAGGAGAATTAAAATCTGGTAAATCAACTGCAACTGCCATAAAAGTATCTGACATATTGGAGTTTGGCACATAGCCAACATTTGTCGTCTGTGCCCATCGTGTTGGCGGGAAACCACCAATTGCACTACCAGCCCGATTTGGTGCGAGCTGAAATTTGATTATTTATTTTTGTTTATCTATTCAGTTTTTATTTTAAACTCCGCACGTATGATTTTATGTACATCAATGGAAAAAAAATCTTGCATTAGCAGATAAAATCAAGCGAGCACGTGCTGTTGTGGCACGATTTAAATACGAGTGACTCAGGGCGCCATGTAAAATAGTTGACTACAGTGACGGCCTCGGTAATTACGTTATTAGTCAAATGAAATAACAGTCGGTTCTTTAAATCATAAAGAAATAAAGTGACAGAAGTGAAAATAAGTTGATAAACAAATTCATATAAGATGTATGATAATATAATCCAGTCTACAATATATGCATATGTGAGAAAATCATTAATGTGCCATTGTGTTTTTAGTTAGCACATTACACATTCAGTTACAAAAAAAAGAGGGGAAATATTTCTTAGGTACATACTTCAGTATATATATGCAACTGGTTGAGAATTTTAAAGTTTATTTTATGATATAAGTTGAAAACGTTACCTGAACGAATCCAAACGGGAAGTGATCACTTGTTTCACCGTCTGATCCAGCATGGAATTTCTTCCGCCAGTCGTCGATCATGGCGGGAAACTGACATGCATATAGGTCAGGATGGCCCGAGTTTGATTCACCTGTTATTTTTCATCATTGTGAGTTTTATCTATATATTGCTCTTTAATGTTTAATAATATTAACTACACTACTGTATATATTTTCATTGGAAAAAAGAATTGTCGTGTTTTAAGCTGCATTTACTTACATTTATGTAGCAAGATTTCTAATCAATTGTTTCAATTTGCCGTATCTAGTTGAAATTAAAGTTAAAATGCATGAATATATTGTAAATGTTTTTCGAACAACTTGGACAAGAATATGCTGTTACCTTGATACCAGATGGCGCCTTTAATTGTCATTGACAGGTAGGGGTGTATCATAGAGTTCCAGAGAACTCCTCTCTCTGTCGGTACATACTTACTTCTAAATATATACATAAGATATTTGAAATATATATTTTTTATTTATTATTATATTTTTTTATTTATTAACTTTTACTTATTGGTAGATTGTTTAATATTTGTTTTATTGCTTAATTTTTTATTCACTTTATTACCTTTTTTATTTATTATAATGATAATTCTTCTAATTTTTTTTATTTTTATTTTTTACATCAAAATTGCAACAACGTTTTATCAACTTCTGATTCAATTTTTAAATATGACATTAAGATCTTTACATTTGTCAGTTAATCAACGTAATAGGTTTGTCATATTTAATATCATGAATTTCAATAATAGAAATAAATAATAGATACACACGGAGTAAAGCTGAAATTTGATGGACAATCTTTTATAGCATCCGGACCACTCCACACTTCTATTGGAGTACCGCCCCAATCGGATTCAATTACTCCTATTGGATACTTCAAATGCTTTTGAAGATCACGTGCAAACATGAAGCATAGGGCCGAAAACGAATCTATGGTACCTAAAAATGATTGTTCAGACTAACATACGTTTAGGGTCCTCGCATTGTTTCAAAACAGTTTACGAATTTCCTATTGGTATCTTAAATCATATTTCTGTATTTCATCTTTCACACATCATTAACGGTTAATTTGTGCCAATGCCCGAAATTCAATCGCGTATTTGTTGTAAAGCAGATATTTCAATTAACTTCAATTTTTAAATTTTGACAACTAATATATATTTACTGGACTGAATATCACTAAACTTATCATCTATATAAAATTATCATTGAACGTAAGCAATTGATGTGATTTACAAACCTTTGACGGGATATTTCCATGAATGTTTTAAAGAGACATCATCAAGTGGCACATTTGAGCGTACAAAATCAGAAAACATCATTCGAATATTATTGTACTGTATGGAGTTGTCGATTTCATATGTACTGTTGAACACCTGCCATGTAAGTTTATAGTACTTTAAATTTCTGTAGCATGTATAAGGTGTGAAATGACAGTAGCACTGTGGAATGAAAGATTCGTTTGAGCCTTGTTTCTTTTCATGATTAAATTGAAAATATAATATTAAATGAAAATGATTGTGCATCAAAATGATGATGAGCTCATCAACTCGATAACTGGTTTATAAACGCGAGAAGAAAGCAACATAAGAATTATATTGAATGATGTATTTTGTTATAATAAAACAAATATTTACCTCTCGCATTGAAAACTGCATATTACTTTGTCCTGAACATATCCAAACATCCCCAAACATGACGTTTACAAAAGTGAGCATGCCCTCACTAGAGTTCACTTGAATCGCATGTGGTCCAGGACTGGTTTGTGCTGGAAGCTTAACTTTCCAAAACCCTTCTGTACCTAAAATACAATTTGCAACATATTGATTAATATACGCATATGTACGTTATAGATTTGGGAGGCGTCAATTGCTTTTACTGATAACATTCGACAAAGTACACAATTATTTTGAAATTTCTATAATACACCATTAGCCTGATTTAAGATGAACATTCTAAAGTTATAAACATTTGGTAAGCTTCTGTTATTTTCCTTAAAATTAAATTGGAAGACAGTGGTCAACAGGTAACACGGCTTCTTAGGTTGTTAGTGGTTTGGGATTCGAATCCCTATCCAGGCAACGGAATCTTAGTGGTATTTGCATAAGCCAAGACATTTAAAGAGGGAGGTGTAAAAAATGGATGGTGAATTTTTCTAATATTTGAAAAATAATTGTCTTATACTAGATCTATCTAGAGTGGAATAATAATAATAGAAAGCTGATTCCTTTTGTGGTCCATTCGAGTCTGTGAAACTTTAGATCTATATTTAGAAACACAAGCTTTTTCAAATGAGTTGATGTTTACCATTCTTAGTACTTCTCTGCACTGTCGTCTGCTCGATTTTGACACCGTTCATGATAATATTAACTGTATCACCAATGACGTCAGCATATCCCCACAAAATGGCGCGAGCAGGTGCTCGTTGCAAAACCATATGGTCACTGTAGTAGTTTGGCATCCGCAAGGTACCATGAATACCTTACACAAAACGATGAAATTAGTAATGAAATTGACATTTCGCACCTCAAACTACGTACAGTAAATAAGTAATTTCGTATTTTCAGTATTCATATATGAGTGCTTCAACTAATTAGCATTGCTATTTATTTTATGACTGAATAGATTTAATTCTCACAAAGATCCTTGTGAAAGAACATTAATTTTCAGTTTTGCTTCTTAATGTCATTCTACTTCTTCGACTTTTTCAGGTCTCTGAAATACTTCCCTCCCATAAATCGACCATTTTTTTTTAGAAAAAAAAGCTTCGGTATGCATTGGGCTTATGAATGATGTCATAGAAAATTACAAAATAGAAATTACATCATATTGGCCATGTGCATCTTAATTATATTTTTAGAAATAACACACTAATTTTAGTATGTATATTATTCAAGTTTCAAAGTAAAAACGTTATAAGTAAATACTTTACCGACAGTCAAGCATGCCGTCACAAGTAAAATAACACTGGGCTCCATTTTGACTTCGGCCTATTACGTTATCATTTTAATGCTGTAAAGTATTTCAGTCTATCTATTATGACCCAGATTTGGTCTCTGATAAGGTAAGCCTAAATATTGTATGACCGTGCCATTATGATATGGATGACATTGTCTCATCAATCATATATTATTGTGAAGATTGTATCATGTGATATAGAAACAGAAAATTAAGATTGATGTACGTTTTATAAAGTAAAACCGAATTCGTGAATTAAGCTCCTAGAAAACGGTGGCCGCTACACAAATTGTGACTGATTCACATTGAACAATCACATTTTTGCTACCGTTCAAAATTATAAGACACGGTTGTCCGTAAAATATCTCAAGAATATAGCGGAAATTAAGGACAAATACTGGTTATTGTGCTATTTAAAGGAAATACACATAAGCCAAAAAAAAGCCTAAAACATAACAATTGAATTTCTTACATTGATTACATGACACACGGGAAGATAAATTGATGATAAACAATTATACTAAATATAATTAAATTGAAACTCATATTATTATTTCCAGATTGAGTTGAACTCGTTTAAACGATTTTCTTTCAAGGGTAATGTTTTGCAGTCAAATTGTACTAACTTATTTCTTTCAATTTGATTCAGCACAAACTATATTGGTCCATTTATCTACCGTGTGTAGGTATTTACTTGTTTTCACCATTTTGTTACCGCATCCGTTGCCTTTACTTTTCGCACAGTTCTGCGTTATTTTCACTATCCTGTGTTACGATATATAAACGACGATTCCATTCCTTATTATGTGCATTATCATGCATTCGTGCGCCAAGTATGTTTAAATTAGAAATATTTTTGATGTGTTCAAATTATCTACATGCTTCCCTGCGTGTCTTCACCTTTTGTGTTTGACAAGGGATGCGTTCATTGAATTTGTGCTTTGGTTACATATCTTGCTGACAAACGACTTCATTGTCCACTTTGGGGAAAACTTGGAAGTACATGTATTGATATTGACAAAAAAAAGGAAGACAACTTAAAGTTTATTATACTGTAGTTTGAAACATTTTTCGATCTTCAACCGATGATATCGATGCTCGTTGATTGAAACATCTCGATTTTAATGAAAGGTGGCACAGGGAGTTGTGTTCTGCTATCGTAAAGGGCACATTGCTTAAGTGCACATGGACTTTCTTTCCACAGGTACCTGAAATAACGTCTGATTGTGTTAATACGGATATATCTTATATAATATAAATGTGAGTATGGAACAAAAGTCCCTCGGCCAAATATCCAACGAGTGAAGGTCTAGCCACCCTAACAGGCACTAACAGTACGGACCCCTTCCGACTTGTGCGGCAATGCATAGGTAAAATTTACTAAGTATAACACTTTCAGTCGACAGTGTCTTCGTGATTTCTATTTTGTTGACATTGATATACTTTATATAAAGGTATAAATATTCAAAGATTTTATGCTTACACTATTCCATCTTATAAATGGAATATAATGAATACCGTGTTGACAAAATCGTATATATCATTTGCGAGAGAAATGAAAAATGCCCGCTTGTTTTATAGTTACACCATAATTATGATAACTTATAGTATATTTAGTTACTTGTTAGAAAACAATAACCAATCATTTATATTCATTCTAAGGAAACATTTTTACAAATTGGTTTCGCGAATGACCAATCTTTGTCATAGTAATATTATGTTTAAGGATCAATTCACACTCGAGTTTGGTTCTTCATACAAAATCAAATGTAAAAGTATACCCACTTTTCAAATAAAACATTGCTTATGGTATTGAAATTATATTTTTATGTTTATTTTGTTACATCTCCAAATAATGTGTTATAACAACAATTTTACATTTGTTTAATAAACTGTTAGAACGAATGGTCGATACATCTTCATATATCTTTAAATATAAAAATGAACTACTTTTTGTTATAGAAACGCATTGATATGTGTTTTGCTGGTGATTGAATATGAGGTTATTACTTATAAAATTTGATTTTAATCTGAGTATATTACTGAATGATATTAGATGAGTACACAGAGGTCAAAACTATATTGGACGAGGTGCTAGCCGAGTCTGGTATAGGTTTTGCAACTGTGTAGACTCTACGAGTCCAACAGAATCAGCATTTTTCATGTAATTTAAAAATGACCTCTTTATTTATTTCACACCATCTTTTTTGACATTTTGAGAGAACTTTGATACTTCAAAAATTTACATTAAGTATTTGATACAGATTAAAAAAGAAAACCAGACCAGATTGAGTATGCTATCCATTTGATATAGATATTTTTGGGACTCTGAAAGAGAAAAAGAGGACCGATGTGCATTTGATATGGACCTTTTGGACTCTGTCTTAATTGATAAGACTGGATGCAATGATGATTTCTTTTAGAACACCACGTGGTGTAGACGCTGAATGTTCATTGGTTATATTTTTATAAGGTTTGAAATAATTATATTTATTTTACTCATCTATTGCATATTGAAAATAATTATGTCTCTTTAAATTTAGATTTTATTTTATGTTTTTACTAGGAACTGAGCATACCTGACACCAGCAACATGAAAGTTTCCATGGCAACCGGAAGTATCTATCTGAATATTCGATGATTCAGATACTTTTATGGGAGCAGCTACCCAAGCAGTTGGAAAATTACAACCGGAAGTCGTACTTGCGCAGCAAACCTTTTAATAGAAATAGATACATGTGTACATAAAGCTATATTTTATTTATCGACCAAATATGTGAATATCCTACAAAGGAAAAACAAGCAAAAGCATGTATCAAATAGTTGTCAGATGTGCTTTTGTTTTTGTTTTCTGTGGGGGGATATCTGGTTTTAAGGCGCTTAAACACAATTAAGCTCATACGGCGTCGAAAACAATAAAGATGATTTTGGCTAAGCACGGGTGTCACAAACTTAAAGTAAAAGCCTAACCTTAGCTAGAGTATACTTCATTCGAACCCATTTAGTCGCCTCTTACGGCCACACAGGGATAAAAGGTGGCTGCAATTCTGTTGCCCAAACCCTAAAAGGTATTTCTGCAGCTATAGTGACTGGTTAAATGTGTTTTTAAGGTGCTAAAAATGCTAAACTGTAAAATGCTTAAATTAAAATATTTTTATCATTTAATTTAAAAATTCAAAATATCTTATCTTGTAAATGTTTTCATTAAGAATATTTGAAAGTGTAGACAATAACATTTGAAAATATGGCTGTTGTTTACCTCAAACCCGTTGTTATTGTTCACATGTAAATTTCCAGTCCCGGCGTTAAAAGTAATGTCCAACGTGTGTTGACCATTGTTCACATTATACTCGGTAGGAAATGGACCTTGAAATACAACACTTTTGTCACCATAGGCAACATTCATGGCTCCCAGAACTAGACGAGCTGCTATATCTTGTTTATATGTCGGATGAATACTAAATTATATAATGTTTATAATGTTAACTTTGATAATTAAAAACCATACCCATGACAAAGTAACTAAATCGATTGCATGACTTGTTGGTGTTTTAAGTACTTGAAAGCATAAGTAGGCCAAACTCCTGAAGTTAAAATGGCTGCACAAATTTTGAATTGCATTATGTTTAATTTACAACCTCTTCAGAGATACATACACTCGCCAAGTTTGGAAGTGTTTGATACTTAATTCACCAAGTTTGGAAATGTTTCTATCTTACAACAAAAATTACAGTAAGAAATCAGTCACCGAAGAACTGTTTTGATAAGGCTATAATTTAATCAATCGTTTATTCAATTCCAAAAGCTGTTTTGTTAGGGTAATGTGCTTGATCATCCCGTTTCGATAGAAAAGGTTTGTCTCACTTTTGCACAAGCTGAGGCAAATCTTTCTCGTGGCGAATGAAATACAATCGAAAAGTGTAACTTTGTAATAATATATTTGATACGCATTGTTATCAATAAATGAACAGTAGGATCTGTTGGCATTTGGTTCGATTTGGGATAATTCAATGATTCGATTAATCGTTTTCTAAATCAAACGTCCAGAGCAATTAATAATTATATCTTTATGGAGCTCTGATCAAATTGTCTTAAATGAACTGCAATAGATTGATCATTTAATGTTTAAATAAGTATATGTTCCGAATAAATGAGCATTGGCGATAGAGATCTACCTACGTCCCGGATGGAGAAGTAAAATCTGGTAAATCAACTGCCACTGCCATAAATGTATCTGGCATATTTGAATTTGGCACATAGCCAATGTCTGTCGTCTGCGCCCATCTTGTCGGTGGGAAACCTCCAATAGTGTTACCAGCACGATTTGGTGCAAGCTAAAGAAAATTCACAAAATAAACAATTTAGAAGACATTTGTCCTAAATGCTCTCAATTTTATCATCAATGAAAATTAAACAGACGATACACATGATTTTATGAAGAAAGTGGCATATTGAACATGATAAAAGTAAATGTATGTATGTACGTACGTACGTACGTTAATCCTCTTTCTCTACGCCGACGATATGGTTTTAGTGTCTAACTCGATAGAAGATCTTCAACAAAGTTTAAATGACCAAATGACCTTCACACATACTGTGATCGATGGGTATTAAAAGTGAACATTGACAAAACTAAAGTGATGGTATTTCGACGGCGGGGAAGACTGAAAAATAGCGAACAATAGACCTATGACGGAAAATGTCTGGAGATAGTGGACAATTTTAATTATTTAGGCACGGTCTTTAATTCTAACGATCGTTTTGATTCAAATGTACAAATGCTAGTTGGAAAATCGCTTAAAGCAATGAATACCTTAATATCAAATACTAAAGACTGATTTTACACCAAAAACTATGTCAGCCTTTTTGACGCTTTTTTTGTTTCCATTTTAAATTACTCTGCTGAAGTATGGGGTTATACAAAATGTCAAAAAATTTAGAGAATACATCTTAAATTTTGCAAACATATTCTAAATGTTAAATTGTCTACTAGTAATGTAGGTGTATACGGTGAACTTGCACGTTTTCCTTTATATATTAATCGCTATATCAGAATTATTAAATTCTGGCATAAAATTTTGAATACGAAAAATTGAGTAATAAGAAAAATTTATGATTTGATGCTGGAAGATGAAAAGGTAAACTGGGCTAATAACGTAAAGAAATTATTATATAGCTATGGTTTCAGCTATATTTGGGAATCACCACAAAAATGTTGATATCAACTGTTTCATTAACTGTTTTAAGCAGCGGTTAATAGATACTTTGTACAATACTGGACAAGTAGATTGACTAACAATAGTGTTCTATTTGTTTATAAGAATGTTAAACAAGACTTCGTGTATGAGGATTACCTGAGTGTTGTTAGATCAAAAACGTGTAGACAAGTTTTAACAAAGTTTCTTCACATAAACTACGTATTGAGTAGATACGGTCAGAATAGGATAGAAAGGAGCAAGAGGGTTTGCGAAGTATGTGTATCAAATGATATTGGAGATGATTATCATTTTATTTTTACATGTACAAAGTATAAAAGTGTAAGAAAACGATATATAGACAATTATTATTACGAACGTCCTAGTGTGTTTAAACTCACTCAGTTGTACACACTTTGAACAATTTAGCTTGCTATCTGAATTGTGCATTAAAAATAAGGAGTAATTTGTTAACATAGTCTCATTGTATAAATTATTTGAGTCTGTAATAGTAATAAATTTCATAGAAGTACTATAGTTTATTACTTTTGTTTTAATATTATATTGCTCTAGAAATACTTAGTAGCTTTAAAAGTATACCAAGTGCATTTCCCTTGCCGGGATAACAATTGTTACAACCAACCTTTTTTTCGATATTTTAAGAAAATAATATTATTGTAATCCGACTTATTAATAACCATTATATCACTCTCATGATAAATAATTATGAACTGATATGTATTTATATTCATTTTTTTTTTGTAATGTTTATGTGATACCTTGATAAATACTGTATTTCTGTTAAGATGAGGAGCATATGCTCAAATCTGAAATTAATAAAATATTTGTTCTGTATGTGTGTATGTATGTATGTATGTATGTATGTATGTATGTTGCGTGCGTGTGTGCGTGTCCGTCCGTCCGTCCGTCCATTCATTCATTCATTCATTTATTTATTAGCTATTGCTATGCTATTTGAAATTATTGTATTATGTAATAGTTGAACAAAAATAAAGTCAACGATAGTTAACGGGCGATAATGTGACACTATCAAAATATAATATTTTTATATTTTATTTGACAGGTGTCATATATTAATAAGAACCGGTTAAACCGGGTGATGCTACCCGAAAAGGTTTTGGACACAGGAAAGTATAAAAAAAGAACAAAGGGCAAAAACTCCAAAATTAGGCAAGGCAGCTGAGTTATGGTTTTTGCACTGAACTTCTACTCAATGAGATGTTTCTATCTATAAAGTTTCGTGATGATATCTCTTAAAGTTTCAGAGTTATGTGCCGGGGTAAAATACAAAGTGTAAAAATGAAAAAATAGCATTAACTCCAAAATAAGGCAAGACAGAGTTATGGTTCTTTAACAATGCACATTTACCCAATGATACCTATCTACCTACAAAATTTCTATGTTGATATCTCTTATAATTTTAGAGTAATGTCCCGGACAAAGTTCAAGGTGTCAAAATGAAAAAAGTGCAGTAACTTCAAAATTACGCAAGACAGAGTTCTGGTTCTTTAATTATGCACTTCTATTCAATGGGATCTACCTACCTACAAAGTTTCATGGTGATATATCTTATACTTTTAAGAGTTATGTCCCGGACAAAGTTCAAAGTGTAAAGAAAAACAAAGGGCAATTATTCAAAAATTAAGCAAAGCAGAGTCATGGTTCTTGTGCACTGCAAACTTACTTGATGAGATCTATCTATCTGCAAAGTTTCATGTTGATAACTCTTATAGTTTTAGAGTTATGTCCCGGACAAAGTTCAAAGTGTAAAAATAAACAAAGGGCAATAATTCAAGTATCAGACAATGCAGAGTTACGGTTCACCTACTCAATGTGATCTATCTTCCTACAAAGTTTCATGTTGACACCTCTTATAGTTTTAGAGTTATGTCCCGGATAAAGTTCAAATTGTAAAAATAAACAAAGGGCAATAATTCAAAGATTAGGCAAGGCAAATGTATGGTTCTTGTGCACTGCGTGCACTGCACACCTACTAAATAAGATCTATCTACCTACAAAGTTCCATTTTGATACATCTTGTTGTTTCAAAGATATGTCCCGGACAAGAAAAGCGAACGGACGGACAATGCGGCGACTATATGCTCAACCTTGGAGGAGCATAAAAAGATAATGTGCAACTAATGTTCCAGATATAATCACCGTTACCTCTACAAATATCCCAAGCATCAATCAGTCTCCTCCCCTTTCAATTTGCCTGACCTTTCAATTTGCCAGAATTCTTCTTCTAATTGACCGTTCAGTTCGCTTTTTTTTTGTTATTTAACATTCGGAGTAGTTTGCTAGTTTGTTCATATTTGGTAATAGTTTTTTCGAGAGACCTGCTGCCGATGTTAATAATTTAAAGACATCCAGTGGAGAAGGCATCATGGGCTTGCACAAGGATTGTTCTAACGTCAAACAGCCAATGAAGATGGGAAATTATACTAAAATCTCTCTCGGAAAAGTGCACACAAGTGCATGTTGCAGTGTTATAGATACTAATGACATTTGTTGGCTGATTTGTAGTATTTGTGTTCCGCGGAGCGCCAGACGAAAACACGACAATGTGACCGTGTTGTCGTACTTGCTGCTCCGCAAAAAAATGACATGGCATAAATCAGCCATCATAAGAATTGGATGATAGAATTATGTCTCTACCATAAACGATTGTCGAAACACGAAATTATAATTTAATGAGAAAACAAAAGCTATTATAGTATTTTTTTTAATTATAGTTAGAATCATCGGTGTCGAATAAACATGCCAATAAAAGTGTATAAAAACCTTTTGAAACGTGTGTTTGTACAATGGAAACATTGTCAATATAGTTTTTCAATATTTAATGCAAAACACACAAATTATTTAGAAGATTAAAAAGAATTTAAAAAAAAACGAACCTGCACGAAACCAAACGGGAAGTGATCACTTGTTTCACCGTCTGATCCAGCATGGAATTTCTTCCGCCAGTCGTCGATCATGGCGGGAAACTGACATGCATATAGGTCAGGTCGGCCTGCGTTTGATTCACCTAATGAATGATATTTATATAATGTTTTTCTTTGTTACATAAACCTGTGATGATCTACGATTGTTTGTTTGTAATTCTAACACGACCCGCATTTTTCTCTATTGAACATAGAAGAACCGAAAGTGTGTGTTATTATGCTATAAAGTCACTGTTTGACGTTCTATATTTAGACATGTGACGTAATCGTTTTACATGTGACGTAACCACTATAAAATCCGACGCGCTGACAATAAGTACGGTCACAAATCAGGCGCAATTTTGCTTAATATCAGGTACGGTAGCATTTATTTGTTGATGTCGTGTTAGAATCGAAATAATATATCCAAATCGGTGATTTTATCGCTGGATAACATCACTGTTTGTCGTTCGGATGCGCATCATTATATCACTCGGGGCTACGCCCTCGTGATATAATTCCTCACATCCGAACTCCAAACAGTGATGTTATTGAGCGATAAAATCACAGTTTGAGATATATTATTTCTTAAGCAACATTGAATAGAATTATGTTAATTTGGTTATGTTCAAAAAACAGAGTCTCTAAAGAAAACCCAAAAACGACGAAATTGAAAATGTTGCCGGGTCGGTTTAAGTTACCGTCCAAACCCCCAAACACCGACTTAAGCAGAATTCAACAAAAATGGTGAAAATTTGAATTAAGAAATATCCGCAGTAAGTTTCCGTTGTATATTTCTGATAAAATATGAAAAAGTGAACATTACTGAAATCTACCGTCGTATTGAATGTCTATGTGAATCAGCTGTAATTTGAGCCGCGTCACGACAAAACCAACATAAAGCGTTTGCGACCAGCATGGATCCAGACCAGCCTGCGCGTCCAAAAATGACAAACGGGACAAAAGCCCTCCCGTGAAAATGACAGAGCGGACAAAAGCCCTCCCGGACAAAAACCCTCCCGTGAAAATGACAGAGCGGACAAAAGCCCTCCCGTGAAAATGACAGGGCGGACAAAAGCCCTCCCGTGAAAATGACTGGGCGGACAAAATACAACCCCCCCCCCCCCGTGAAAATAACAAGGTGGACAAAAGTCCTTCCGTAACAAAACACATATGTTTATGCCTGTTATTTTTTTAATGCACTCAACATGTTAACATTGTAAAATTTTATATTCCGTTGTTGTTTCCAATTGTATGAACTAGAACCACCTTTCATTCAGAATGTACCTTTCTGAAATGTTTAACGAGGTAACTTTTTACACGAATGTCGTTCAAAACAAAGTCACTTTTAAAAGTATTTAACTTGTTTCAAGACAAATTATAAATGTTTTGGACTTTAAATTTTAGTTAATTAAGACTTCTTTTCATCATTTATTACTTTTTATTATTTCATATGGGAGTAACCATTTTTCATATTTACGTGAATAAATAGGAACTTACAGATTTAGCATTTTTATTCAGATTCTGTCAAGAATGAGTTCAAGCTCAACAGAGCTTATGTCAATGGA